CCTCGACCATTGTCCCATTTACGGCACAGGACTCCATCCTGAAGCAGCAAGCTGTCCCATTGGGCCCAATAGCTTTTCGTGGTTGAACTCATCGCTGAGACGTCCCTCCACTTAGGCTTGGTAGCACGGGCCTTCATCCATCCCAGAATCGGCTTGATGTCCGGATCTTCCTGCTGTGCATGTCGTAGGCTGTCCTTCCACCCGTTGCTGAGGTGGTCTGTCCTGAGCATCCTCACGGATACCACTTCCTTACTCTCTTGCCTACTACAATGGTTGCAATCTTCAGGACAAGGTCTTCTTGTCAATGCATCTGCGTTGCCGTGAGATTTCCCGCTGCAGTGTCTGATAGTAAAGTCGTATTCCTGCTGCTGCTGGGCGGTGCTGTTAGCCACAGTTCCTTTCTGAGACCGTTCACCTTCCCTTTCTAGGGTGTGCTAAGGGCAGCTGGACCGAAGATGGCCCCTTTCCCCACAGCCATAGCACCTAGGGCTGTATCTTTTATTGTGGTCGCGAACCGTAACTGCTGTAACCTCCCTAGCGTGAGGTGAACGATGATCCTGTCGCCGCCAGGCAGTGCCGTTAGCTGCACTACCTTCTCGAGATCGATCAACTCTCCTTTCCACGGTGCGTTTAGGGCAGCTGGATCGAAGATGGCCTTTTTCCCCACAGCCATAGCACCTAGGGCTGTATCCTTTGTTGCGGTCGCGAACTGTAGCTGCTGCAACCTCCCTGACGCGATGGGAGCGATGATCCTGCCGCACGGCTTCTACCTCCAGTGCATGGGCTAAGGCGTCCTTAAGCGTCTCGTGGTGCCCGAGCCTCACAGCAGCTCTGACTTCCAGGTCGCGGATGCCGTCGATGAATGTCTGCACCAGGTTCCCTTCAATGAGCGCAGGTACAGACCGGTATGCTTTTCGCACCAGCTTCTCCACTTCTAGAGCCCACTGCTGCAGGTTTTCGTTGATGCGCTGCACACGATCTTTAAGCTGCACACGAAAGACGTGTTCCAGGTGAGCGTCGCCATATCTCGGCTCCAATGCCTCAAGGAGTTGCTCATAAGTCACTTCCTCACCGAGAGCTTCCAGAACTGTTAAGGCCTGGTCACGCAGGCCTAGTGTGAGAGCAGTCATGGCCTGATTTTTATTCCAGCCGTTCGCCTTCATAACAGCTTCGAACTGGATTTTGTAGGCTGACCAGGAAGAGGTACCGTCGAACGGTGGCACCTTGAACCCACGTAGCGAAGGTGTTGTAGCTACTAAGGGAGCTGTAGCTCCATCTCCATGTGTGAGTTCGCCCAGTGATTTCTTCATGTCAGCCATTACGTTGTCAACCCGATTGTTTACATGGTCGATTCGGATTTCAGCTTCCGACAATCGGTTGTCATGTTGAGCAACCTTATCCTTCACCTCCCGTATCTCTTTTCCGAAGGTAGCGTGAAGGTCCTTCACGAGGAGCATCTGCTCTTCCAACCGACGGGCCTGTTCCACTTGTGGACGTGGGTTCGTATCCCACTTCTGACACCAATTGTTACGAGCTTGAGGTTCGTGACAATAAAAATTGCCGATAAAATTACCTAAATTAACACTTTAATTTACTTTACACAAATTAAAAGTTAAAACACTAATAATTAAACACACTAATTCACTTTATTCCGCTCCGAAGCTTCGCTTGTCTCGCCAAATCCAATACTGCCCCAATCGCATCTTGCAGCGCCTATATATACAAATTAGCAATGAAGCATCCGGAATATTCAAGTAAATGCGCGCAAGGCGACGAGTGTTCGATCGTAGATTTTCTAGAAACTTAGTTCTTCGGAGGGCGCTGTCGGTTGAAATCTCCCCTCCCCTCGCTCTCGTTCCTGACACTAGATGGCGCTAGTGTATGACGTTGAGCGCGTAACAGTATATTCAATTGATTATTTATAATTACTGTACAACGTCGCAACACATCAATATATCAATGAGTTGAAAGTAAAGTAAAGTAAAGTTACAGCCTATATACGTCCCACTGCTGGGCAAAGGCCTCCCCTCATTTCTGAGAGGGTTTTAGGGCAAGGAAGTTTCCGCCGCGCTGCCCCAATGCGTGTTGGCGAACTTCACATGTCTTCGAAATATTTTTTTCTTATTCCTCAGACATGCAGGTTTCCTCACGATGTTTTCCTTCACCGCTGAGCACGTGGTAAATCAGCACTTAAAATTGCAATTAACAATTTAATTGGTGCCGGCGGGGATCGAACCCGGGTTACTCGCGTTCTGTTATATTTACAGCGAGCGTTAACCATCTGAGCTACCACGGCTCATCAATGAGTTGAGCATGAATTTAATTCATGTATGCGCGTGAGCGTGTTCTATAACAAGTTGAACACGGTTTTCACCTCACTCCAAATATTCATAATATGTTTCATCAATTAATTGTATACATTTATCTTTGCATTGTCTTTTGTGTTGGCCCCATGTAGTAAGATGTTGAAATCTCATACAAATATATATAATAGTTGTAAATATAATAATGGTTTATTTACGTTTTAAACCAGAATTACATGTAAACTTATTACCTTCTTTTACTTACTGCAGTTTCAGAAAATAATACAAAAATAATAATAAAGAAATATAAAGGTAAGCTGTATTTATGGGAACATTTATCAAGGTTACCAATTGATAGATTTCTACTATTTTTTTACCAACAATGCCTCCCAGAAAGCCATAAAAGCCATTTACGAGTTCGGCAACTAGGTACGGATTCGCTCACAAACAATACCTTTTCTTCGCCTTTGCAAACTTAACGGATAAGAAATAGTTCCGCGATGTATTTTATAAATATTAGATCTTAAGTATTTTTTATATTTTTGTTTCTATTAATCAAAGTCATCACCCATGCAATTGATGCATCTTTGTCAAAACAGTGGCAGTTTATTGTTGCCCTTCTTGAAGAAATCAGCCGGACGGATTGCAACAAATTCTTCAAAGGCATTTTGAACTGCCTCTCGGTTATTGATTTCTTTCCCGCCAAAAAGTTATCCAAAGTCTGGAAAAGTGGAAGTCTGTAGGCGCACGGTCTGTTGAGTACGGCGGATGATGGAGAGCTTCTGACCTCAACTCTTGTAACTTGGAGACCGTCTGTTGTGCAGTATGAGGTCGCGCATTGTCATGCAGGAGCAGCGGGGACGAACCATTAACCAAAGTTGGTTGGAGACGAGCGAGCTTCTCTATCATTGTGTTCAGTTCTTCATATTACACATCTGCATTCACGCTCATCCCGTTTGCTAAGAAACTGTGATGAATTACACTGGTGCTAGACTATCAAACAGTGACCATCATTTTTCTAGGGGTAAGATTTCATTTAGGGCATTGTTTAGGTGTTGAACCAGGATCAAACCAACTTGCTGAGCGCTTGCTATTGTCAAACAGAATTCATTTTTCGTCGCAGGCAAGGCCGTGGCCGTAGGCCAGAAAATAATTTCAAAACGAAAAACATAAAATCGTTTTAAAAAAAGAAATAAAATGATGTAACTTATCATATATATTTTACCTTATTAGAAAACTAAATTTAGTCTTCTAGCTTTCTTTGCAGCGAACAAATCAATAAACTCCTCGGCGTCGATGTTAATTCTGCGGTGAATTGACATTAACGCCAAACCGTTTAGTCTTTCCTGGCCTGTGGTTTTCTCAAACAAGTTTTCAGGCGTTTCAGAGAAGAGAAAGTCTTCTCAGGAGTGCATGTAGAAACAGGCAGTGTCGCCAAGATCCTTCAAAGTTCGTGAATTTTTTGAAATAAGGCCTGGCTGCATCCTCCGAGAGCTTCAATTGCACATGTTGGTCGATCTAGTTCTGATTCTTCCACCCATTTTATCCGGCACATGTCTAATTCAGGTTTTACAAACTCTCATTCCAAATATTTTTTATAGAGCTCAAAGTAGTCTATACATGGTAGCTGCAGTTATATTAAAAGTATAGTTTTAGCACGAATGGGTCGGCTCGACCAGGAAAGGACCACGCTCTCACAGAATACCAGCGTAAAATAGTAGCTTAATGCTGCTGTGTTTTGTATGGTGAGTGTAGAGACCGGAGACCATTTTTACTGGAAATGAGGCATTCCATCTCAGTCCTCACTGGTGAAAACGCATCTGCATTGAGGGTGTCCGGTTGTCTACACTCACCATACGAAACACAACAGCATTAAGCTACTATTTTTACTTGCTAATTTGAGAAAAATGGATCAATATTGTTTTGATGCTTATGTCAAAAGCTGCTGCTAATTCACATATTGATATCATGAGCTTTCGCAATCGCCTTTAATTCGCCATTGTCTACCAAAGTTTTCGAACGACCACGGTTCATTTTTCAGGTCAACGTTTTTAGAACGCAAGCAGGCAACCCAATAATAGGTGGTGCATTCGTTTGTAGTATACGCTCCGTAAACTTCGTTGATGTTGCGTGCCGCCTGCGTCGCGTTGCTGCCACGACGGTACTCATATTACATAGTTACTCGAATTTTTAATGTGTCCGTGATGACGTAAAATATTAAAATGCGATGAAAACAAAACGTTAATTAATAAACAAATGACTAATTTTGAAAAAATAATACCATGTTTTTAAAATAAAATTATTTTGATTTGAAATAGCCCGTACTTCAGAACGGCAACTTTATAGGTAAAGATCTATTAGTAGCCGAAACAAAAAGCAAAAATCAAATATCCTTATAGCCAACATTAACCTAACCTTACACAGACGATTTAAGTTTGCTAGACATAGTAAACGAATATTGAAGCAACGTTGATAACATTAGTAATAAAATAAATATATAAAGTTATATTTTATATTCCGAATGACTACTGGCGGGACATAGAGCCTACCATAAATTTTATTATATAACATATCAAGATCTATAAATTAACATATATGTTAACAAAATAAACGTAATTGATTTTACCTTATTTTATTTAACACTTATACTGTTTTCTTGCAGTTATAAAAGTTGCTAAAAATGATTTTGATTTTCAGATGAATTCTGCGAGGACTACCCGCATAGCCTGATTCCAACTCCTGGATACTGGATCGAGTGTTCACGCCAAAAGATTGCTACTGACACCATATGGGATGAATCCGAATCGGAACATGACAGCGGACCCGATCAAAACAATGAATCAGGTAAGTTTTGCATATTAATACCTATAATTATCATAAAATATTTCATTATCGATTTTCCCCAGTAGTTCCCAACAATTGTGCCTTTTTCCTTGATTTTTCTGTAGGGTATAAGGTTTCTCATTGATATTTCTCGAAGTGGAAATTATCGAGAAATTCAGTCTTATTCGACACGAGAGAAAAGTGGTCGAGAACTCGATAAAACGCGTCTTGATGTGTCAAATGCTATTCACGCGCTAGACATTTATCGTGATATTGGGATAGTAGTACTGGTAGTCCTTAAATAAATTAATAAAATAAAAACTAGTAATCCAGTACATAAAATATGTATGGAACAATTTTTTTTTACTTATTATAAGCCAGTGCTTGACCACAATCCCACCTCGTGGTGAGTGTTGATGCAGCCCTAGATGGGTAAATCGCACTCTCGTAGCGTAACAAAAGCCTTACTCTTGATTTGAAGACGCCCAGATTGTATTCAGACGGAAAAATAGACGCCGGCAAATTATGCCACCCACCCCTTTGCAGTACGTATTACAAAAGTAGAAACAAACCATTTGGTTCTTATGCGTGAAATATCGACAACAAAGTAGAGTAGACCCGCCGACCGTCTAGTTGTCCGATTGTGGAAAGGAGAAGAAGAAATTAAAGCGTGGAATTCCTCCGCAAACTCACCAAAATGTATCCTATAGGATACTGAGATGCTGGCAACACTGCGCCTGTGCTCAAGGCTGACAAGATTGGTTTTAACCATATCAAGGTTATCAATGAGCCTCTTAGCACGTCTCTCCAATGAGTCCAACACTTCCAGGTGGCATTTTGCGGCACCAGCCCATTTATGAAAGCAGTACTCCATGCACGATCAGTTTTGGGCTTTATATGAGGTAAGAAGCTGCCTCAGCGTGAAGTACCGCCGCACCCTAACAAGGACACCTAGTTTTCTTGAAGCTGTTTTGGCTCTGGACTCAATGAACCGCTAATAGTTGAGTTTCGGGGAAAATTAAGCCCCTAACAACGGAAGACGTTCAGTGTACTCCAAGGATATATTCCGGAAAGTAGGAGCCAGAGTGAGCGGGGTCACTTTAGCGGTGAAAAGACACGCTTAAGTTTTGGAGGCGTTGAATCTCACGAGATTGGCACCACCCAATTCAGAGAGTGCCTGCAGATTCGCACACTTAACCATACCTTCTCTTTCGGACTGGATTTGATCTCGACTGGCCCAAGCTTTCGGATGATACCTCTCCAAAACTGTGCTATCGTCTACATACCCATAGATACCGAGAATAAGCAGTTCATCAATATGCAGCAGGAAGAGAGTTGTGGAGATAACGGACCCTTGAGGGACTCCAGCGTTTGTCACGATATGACTCAGAGAGATTATTCACTCAGAAAGTCTTTCACCCAGTCAATCAGGCCAGAGGATAACCCGTACTCTGGAAGCTTACCAAAAGGCTAGCGTGCCAAACCCTGTCAAAGGCCTTCAAGACATCAAAGAAAACACTGCTCACGAGGGTTTTGCCCCATATGTGAGTGACATACGCATGAAGGTCCCCAGTTGATCGACTTCGACGAAACCCGTACTGGCGGTCACTGAAAAATCATTCTGCTCTAGGTATGCCATGAGGTGGGCGTTCAATATATGCTCCATAATCGCAGAGTATGGAGGAATTGAAATTGGTCAATAGTTAGCAGGGCCGGCACGGCTGCCCTGTTTGAACACAGGCTGCACATTGGCAAACTTCCAAAATTTGGTCATTTCGCACAGATTTTTAGAACTATAGCTGGTAAACCATCAGGTCCAAGAGCTTTGTTTACGTCTATAATTCGCAGGGTTTTGGGAACCTCTTTGTTGGTAATACGGACCTCTGACATAAAGGTACCGCAGTGAGGTTAATGAGTTGGTACGCTGTTGCTACTGTCCAGACGCGAATTGCAAGCAAAACGAGAAGCAAATAAGTGAGCTTTCTCTAGTGAGCCATCTGCTTTTACTAGCGGAGGCAGTGTACACCAGCAGAAATTTCTCTCAACCGCTTTGGCGAGAGACCAAAAAGTTCTAATGCCAGATGGTTTTACAGAGAGCTTTGCACCGATGTGTTTAATTCGTTCGAAACTGGCTTGCCGTGACTTCGTTAAAAGCTCTCTTATAGGCAACATCAGAATTTTTGCGGTCTCGAGCATCGACCCAAGATAAGTACGCTATAAGTGCTTTTTGGCACGAGTGCACTCGGCATTGAACAATGGGCGAGCTTAACCACCAATTGGAATTTGCGTCTGCAAAGGGAATGAAATACTCCATTGCTATGAAGTATTACATCAGTAATGGCATACGCGCAGCTCTACGTATCTTCAGACGAGAAGCAAACCCGCCGCCAAGGATAACATGCAAAGAAATGCCGCATCTCATCCCAATCTACTGACTTGTTCACCATATTCGCCGCATACCTTTAAAATCGTAGTTAGGTGGTGAATATACCGACACAGATTTCACCAGACTGTGATCAGAAGTTCCCAAAGGTGAGGTAACCCTAACAGCGTATCCGTCGGGGTCGGTCATCAGTAGAAGGTCATGGCAGTTGACTGTGTACCCATCCACATCGGGTTAACCCTAGTCGCTTGTTGTACCAGTTGGGAGAGCCTCAGCGACAAGGCAAACTTCCACGCCTCTCTCCCAGCATGGTCGATCTTCTGGTATGGGAATAGCCAGTCCTGATCACAGGCATTAAAGTACTCTAGAAAAAACCAGAAAACCCTAAAGTATTTAGGTGATTATTATTAAAATGTTTATCCTTTCTACTTAGTTAAAGGACAAATATATGTTATGTAACGATAATTCAAAGATTGCTTTTATGAAGGCATTTAAATACTGTTAATTCAATCAAACAAAAGACATTAATATTAAATACAAAAAAAGACTTATTAACACTACATAATTAACACTATATTAAAATAATATAATAAATAATAAACTAAAGAAACCTAAACAAGCTTAAATAATTAATCATCATCATAATCATCAGCCTGCAGCGAAAAGAATTCAAGGAAGATTCCTATTAGCATATCACGGCTATATACGTGGTATAATCATTATTAAGAAATTGACAGTGATATGAGGCAACTCTATTAATGAAAACAGTGCTTTCGGCACAAAAGAAATGTGTACGGGCTATATACGGGGTACATCCATTCGAAAGTTGTAAACCCTTCTTTACGAGCGCGTACAAAAGCAGAAAAATCTAAATATAATACACTACTCGTACCAGATTGTAGTATTAAAAGGGTCTCCGGGCGGCGTTTAGCCTCCAAAAACGCATTTCTCTGTTTTCTCCCTGCCATATATGCCTGACAATAGAGCAAATATTTTTTGCCGACCACTGCCATGTTCTTAGGTTTTGATTATGTTTTTCTATAAATTAATTATTTTTAGGACATTGAACCTTCTGAAATTGGTAAAACTGTCAAGTAATACCAGTGTTATAAGCTTATAAGGCATATAGCAAATAAATTCAATAAAGATAAAAATGTAAAAGAAATACATACAAACATAATCACAATCCCCTTTTTTATATAATAAGAGTGGCAATCTAGCACACAGTCTATCTGATGGTAAGTGGATGCTGTGGCGCATAGACATTGACATGCCATGCAATGCCGATGCTTTATCACCTCTGAAGCCTAAAATGAAGTGCCTCGTTTCCAGTGAAAAGAGTCTCCGGTTCTCTATATAGGTATTCTGTGTGAACGTGGTCCTTCGTGAGCCGACCAATTCATACTACAAAGCATAAAATAGCAGCAGCTTAGCTCTACCACGTACAAAACATCATTATCATATATTGTAATTAAACCCTTCGTATATTATTTTAAAAAATCAGTTCAGTTTTTGAGAAGAAAGCATGTTGACTCCATGAGGAGTATACTTTCTCTTAACTTATGAAAGTAAATACTGAATAACATAATCGTCATCTTTTCATAGGTCAATGATATACTGTCGCAGTGTACGTAGCAGCAGTACTGATGCTGCTCGTACGCGACAATATATCATTAGAAAAACTAATTTTCAAGTTTCTTGTACCCGATTATATTCAAATTTGTTAAAAAATTATTTAATTTATTCTAAGAGTAATTACATAGATATAGCAATATTAAAATGACATCGCGATGACATATAACTTGGCGCTATAATAAATTATAAATTGACTATTGAAATAATACTAGTTTTTACGGAATTTATCGCGTATATTTAACTTTTTAAATACCCGACGTTTCGAGAGCGAGAAACCCAAAGCGGGTAACTGTCCATGTGTCATCACATGTTCAGGAGAAGCAACAAGGATTAGATCAATCAATGAGTCATCGGTTCCGATATTATGATGAGTAGCCTTTAAAGGGAGAATAGAAAGATTAACCGACTCAATAATTGAAAGAAACCTTTTGGAACGAGGGCAGTTTTTCAACAGATCAGTATTGAAATCACCCATGATTATACAGTGAGTGTACTCAGAACAAATATCAACAAGAGCCATATCTAAAGTGGCGAAACAGTCGGTAGATGGGGGGCAATACACTACCCCTAGAAGCATCCTGATGCCCTTGACATCGAGTTCCATAAATAAAAACTCAGAAGAAGCGGAATAGCAGGAGGGAGATGCTAAGACAATTTTATAAGGAATTGATGCATGTAGGTAGATTGCTACACCACCTCCACCTTTTCCAACACGATCATTCCTAACAAGTACAAAGCCGGGTAAGGGATATAAAGTTGATGGTATAGAAGGTTTCAGCCAACTTTCCGACACTAATATAGCATGAATATACTCGGGGAAAAATGAAGCTTCAAGTTCGGAATAGTGGCTCGGGATACTTTGAGCGTTAATATGACATATGTTCACAGAGTTGTTAAAATACGTAAAAACTCCTTTGAGTAGTTCGTGTAAATTAAGGACGCTATCGTTGAGAGAATCGTTACAAGAGTGAAATGACAAAGTACAAGAATCATAATATAATAA